AGAGGGAGAGTAGGGATCACAGTGTTGGGATGTTACCAGGGAGCAGGAATGCAGAGGGAGAATAGGGATCACAGTGTTGGGATGTTACCAGGAGGGAGGAATGTAGAGGGACACAGAGTGGTACCAGGTCCCAGCATCCTGGTGGGGCACGAAGTGAGACTTGGTGGGGCTTTTGGGTGCCTGGAAGGTTGAGCAGGCTGGGAGCTGCAGCATCCATGGGTATGGAGTAGGTCTGGCTTCTGGGTTCCCTCAGCAGCCCCTGCGTCCAGGTGGAGAAAGCAGAGCAGCTCTGAGAGGCTGGAGAAGGGATGGCGGGAGGGTCTCAGTCCCTGGAGCTGGGTGCATGGAACGTGAGCCCCAGGAAGCCCCTGCCCTGCACATATAGACTTGGGCTCTGTGCCCCATACTGTAGTAACCATGGATGTTTTTGTGTGCTTCACATTCAGATACGGAGCGCTGCTGGTACAGGGGTAAGTGTCTGACTACTAAGGTCAGTAGCCACTGCCCAGGAGAGAGATGGGCTTCTGTACAGATGACAGCTTTGGAAACCCTGTCCTACAGTGTCGCTTTTCCAATATTAGCGTTTCTTTCATCAGTAAACAGGCACATGGGGAAGGCCCTCCCAGGGGCACTGTCTTTCAGAAGGGGTGGTCACCAAGGCCTAGAAGAGTCCGACCACCTACCTCTGTGTTCCACCCAGGAAGTAGCAGAGCACTCTTGTCTCTGCATGGTGCCCGGGGGTTGGGGGCAGCCTCACATGTAAGTGGGGAGACAAGCACTCCTGTCTGCATGGTGCCTGGGACCAGGACCAACACTCTGGTTTTATCAGAGGGATGATCTGTCTCAGGTCCTGAATTGGCCTCTCTCCTCAGTGCCGCAATAAACGCTGCTGGCATTTCCCCAGACAACTCTTCAGTGCTCCGGCCAAGGCACAGGGTGTGTGCTGATGGGGTCCATGGGTGCTGTTGCAGGAGGCAGTGACCTTCCAGGACGTGGCGGTGGGCTTCAGCCGGGAGGAGTGGAGCCTGCTCGGCCCGACGCAGAGGACAGAGTACCGCAATGTGATGCTGGAGACCTTCGGAAACCTGGTGTCTGTGGGTAAGGTGCTGGCCCCACTGCATCCTCCTCAGCTCACCTTCTCGGGGCCTCCAGCATGCCTTTGAGGGTCCCTCACGCATTGCTGGCCTATTGCTGGGCTCCCTAGGATTTCAGTTCTGGTGAAGGCAGTAACAACTGAAGACAATGACTTTCTGTCAGGAATGTTCCATCCAGGTGATTTACTGTCAGCACGTTTGTGGTCATCACAGGTTTAGTGTCTCGTCCAGGGCTGGGCGTTGGTACACAGGTCCTTACCCTTGTCTTGCACTATTGTGTCACTGTGAGAAGTAGCGTGGGTACCTGAGCGTTCCCTCCTTTCTCCTCTCCCTGCTTCTGTCCCTGTCACCAGCTGGCCCTCCACAGGACTTGTGGACCCAAACCTGGCCTGTCTCCCATCTTCTCTCCTTCCCAGCACACTCTAGAGACCATTAGTGCCCACGTAGACCCAGATACCTGAGTCCTCACACCCAGGCACACCGTCAAATACAACACATACCATCTGTCATTGTCTTTTTCCCCATTGGAAACATCCCGTGGTTCCACCCTTTTCATGGGTACAGACCATTGACATAGTGTTAGCGTTCTCACGTAGCGTTAGC